GGTGACTTGTCATCCTTCACACCTACCACAGAATGATGACAGGAGTCATGAGGGCACCAGAAATACTGTGCAAGCAACCCACATTCTTCTCAGCAGCCACGGGTGTTTGACACACAGGATGCAAAGACTTTTTTTAGATATGGAAAGAACTGAAAACCCCCCGTACATCAGTTCACCTTTACACATAGTAGTAACATTATTTTATCAGTTTAAACAAATTATATAAGGACATTTTTACCATTTGATGCATGTTTTTATAAAGCTATGATGTACTTAGCAAAATGTGCATTTACATTTTTATTGTAGTTAGTTTGTTAGGACTTGTTTCTCTGTTTTTGCTTTTGGTTTTTCAGCTTACAATAAAAGCTATGATCACTTAAAAAACAAGTAAGTAACAAGCAGAGGCATTTCATTTTTTGTGCAGGACCACTTCTTCATTTTGGGATGAAATTATAAGGCCGCATCCCACCACAAACCACCAGTGGTCATGTGCACAGTTCCTATCTTATACCTCAAAAAGTTGAGTAAATTCAAAACTCTGGAAAGCATTAAATGCCAAAAAGGAGATTTTTTTAGCCATGCTAGCAGTGTAGCAGATGTTGTCGGCCCTAAAGTATATTGACTGGATTGTCGTGACATTTGGTAATGAGATTCATGGTTCCAACAGAATGAAACCTACTAACATCAGTGATCTCCTGACCTTTTTTCTAGTGCCATCATCAAGTCAAATTATTATTGTCCAGTAATTTTGTGGCCAAAGGCTAATGGCATTCCTTTAACCATCAGTTGTACTTTGTTACGTACTAATTTGCAAATGTTGACAAAGATGGTAAGCATGGTAAAATAACAGCTGCTAAGCATCAGTGAGCATGTTAGCATGCTGATGTTAACATTTAGTTCAAATCATCTTTTTGCCAAAATATAGCCTCACAGAGCAGCTGCAGTACTTTAGAATAGATGTAGAGTCATGGTGGTGTTTTCCCACATTTTATGACTCTTCCCTCAAGTTTAATCTTTAAACTTTCTTATCTGATAAACACAGAAGAGGATGCAGACAGTTCAACCAGTCACCAACCATAAAGCTGCTGGATGGCCAGCCTGTCGTCCAGGGCCAACTCGAAGTTGATAATATCTCCCACAGGACCCTGGTAGTACGGCCTCATGATGGATGGATCAGAGGAGGAATGGGACAGACCCAGCGCATGGCCAAACTCATGCACTGCAACTGTGAAGAGGTCAGTGCTGCTGCTGCCACCTGAGGGAGTGTAAACTAAAAGTGTTAGTGAATCATAGAAACAGCCGTAATGGGAACTGGAAGTTACTGACTAAGCATTGTTGTAATTTTTGTTCACTAACAGTTCCAGCATCCATAATCCAAAAATACCTCCATAGCTCCAGACTTCATCGTCATCAAAGTGTGTGTCACCCGCCAAATCACCCGTGAAGGGGAAGAAGGCATGGGCCAGAGTGCCACCACGCCCATCAAAAGGGTATCCATCATTATGCAGCAACTGGGAAAAGGACACCCTGATGTCCCCTTCAGCCCTGCTGCCCCTCGCCACCTGATTGAATCTTAAGGGGGCTGCGTTGCTCCAGGCTTTAAAGGCGTAAGTAAGGATGTTGTCCACTAAATTATTATGCAGACCGGGTGAGGTGGAGGGTGATGGGTAGCTGTGGACACTGCAGACAAACATCGAGTTTATGTTAAAAAAGTTGCAGACTGCGTGTTTTAATTATCCTTTAAATCTGTTCACTGTACACTCTCTGTGAGGTTTGTTCCTTCATCACGATAAATGGGCGCTGGACTTTATTAGGAATATTGCATACTCCTTCCTGTTGCAGTACCTTCTCACTAGAGCACCAAATATCTTTTAATGCCCAGCAGAAAATAGTTCCATAACTGCATTCCTTACTCCTGTTTGAGTAACGTTTGCTAACATAGCCCCGATGTTTTAGGAAATTACTGAGGCTTTCCTCAAAATGAAACTATATTTTTGTGAGCCAAAGTTTGATGTCTTCAACAGGAATAAAGTTACTCGGGACTGAGTGCAATGAAAAGGTAAGGAAGTCAAAAGAACTAATGCATTTAGTTCACAACATGACTGATGTAGCCTTTTATAAACGCAAGAGAAGCCTTAAACCATTTGTGGTTAATAGACAGAGAGCTACAGTATGATTCATACAGTAAAGCTATAAATATGCAAGGTAACATGACAGGAAACACACCTCCATGTGAGATCTGTCTTATGCCACTTAAGGCCTGACAGAGCATATCTTTTTCTCCTTCTCCTCCTCTTCATCATGTCCTCACTCCCAATAATATCAGGAAGAGAGCACCGTGGTGTGGACATGAGTTTAAGGGTTGCACTGTCTGGAAGAGAAGTTAATCACATTTTGGGTGTTGAAACGAAAGAGCAGAAAACAGGAAGTTTGCAACCTTAAGTCTGTGACTACAGATGTATGAAGCATGTACAGTACAGCATGTTCCCATGATTTAAAATAAGACACTGTTACCGAGCACTCCGGTTTCCTGGACCCCGCCGAATCTTTGCATGACGCGAATAGCATTCTCAATCCCTTCTTTGGTCAACAGCTTACTTGTGCGTGGGTCGGGACGAGGGAGGTAACCATACCTGCTCAACCAATCCTGAATAAGAAAACCAGATGAAATTTGGTCATCTATGGTTTTCTAAAAAAATCACAGTACCACAACACAGTCAGATCATTGCAGGATGTCCATACAAGGCAGCATGTCAGCCTTTCTCTCTCATTAATATTAAATGACCCTGTCTTTGTTGAGTGAGTTGCTTGATGGAGTAAGGGTACCACTGGCATTTTCCTACTGTAGGAACATGTCATAAGAACTGAATAAACAGTGGCTGGCAAGTGAAATACGTTGTTCAGTCTGGTGTGGTATTTTCCTGTTAAGTGTGTATATCTGTGAAGAAAAGCAAAATCAGTTTCTCAGATGTGATTCTGAAACCTGCCCCTCCTTCTGCACGGTTTCTACCCTTTTGTTATGGCAGTTAAAAGGAAAAGGTGTTGGCTCACTCCATCAGCAGTTGCCTTTATGTGATGCTGAAAATGCAGTCAAACAGTTGAATCTTCTACTCAGTTTATGTGTTTCTAGCAATAACAGTATGTCAGAAAATGTAGTTTTTTTTAGGTTTGACAATATTTCTAAACAGTTG